TTACATTCCAGGTTCCTATGCAGTATTTTTCTTTGCAGCATCGGACTTTCCTTTCACTTCCAGGCACGTCCGCAGCTGAGCGTCCTTTTGGCTTTGGCCCAACCACTTCATTAGCTCTGGAGCTACTTGTACTTGTCCTCTGCTCTTCATCAGTAGCGTGTTGGACACCTTTTGATCTGAGGGGCTCATCTTCCAGTGTTATATCTTTTAGCCTTTTGTTTCTGTCCATGGAGTTTTCTTGGCAAAAATACTGAAGTGGCTTGCCAGTTCCTGCTCCAGGCAGATTGCATTTAGTCAGAGCTCTCCACTATAACCTGTCCGTCTTGGGTGTCCCTGCACGGCATAGCCCGTAGCCTCTCTGAATGACTCAAGCCCCTTTGCCATGTACAATTCCTTACGCACGTCTTATTCAGTATTAATTTAATGTTACCAAGTGTTGGTAGACCACCCCTTCCAGGTAATTCAAATTGTATTGACAAATCTCAGGGAGCAGAAGCAGTAAAAACATATGATTTGCAAAGTATTGCCCCAAGATTAATTTTAAATGTGGGGTTTGTGACTTCTAGATTACCAGCTAGTAGCATTTGGAATGGTTTGTTTGTCAACATTGAGTTATTTATAGTAAATATTGGTTCACTGCTCTGTGCTACATAGTAATCTAGCTTTGAGTTAGTCCAAACTATTGTAATCAGATTGTTAACCGAGACTGATCATACCATACAAGTACTTTGTGTTTTCGCCAGTTGCCAGTCCATTTTCAGGCCCAGTTCTAGCCTAGATTTAAGGCCCTAAACTGCTTAGGGCCAAACATGCCTGAAGAAACACCTTCTCCCTTAACTGACTAGGAGCAATTCCAAAATTAATAGGCAGGGTTGCAATAGGCACAGGCCCCCTAACCTTCCCTATGGTGGAATAAAGGGTGCACGACTCAAAGTCAATCCACCCTCTGCCCTTTTGGTAATATTCTGTGTCCCGGTCTATGTTGGCATTTGTGTGTTTCCAGTAGACTTGAATTGTGTAGCCCAAACAGAAAAGAACATGTAATCTGTGTCCCGGTCTAAGTTGGCATTTGTGTGTTTCCAGTATAATTGAATTGTGTAGCCCAAACAGAAAAGAACCAGCAACTGTATCTAGTGCTGGCACCCTGTTTTAGTTTCATTCCCCTCCTCACCTTTTTTTTAGCTGCCAGGATAAAGTCCCAACTGGCTACCTATGGCAGACACTGAGAAGCAATTGAGTGAGAAACTGTAAATGGATTGTGGACGCAGTCAACGCTCATTTCTTTATACAGTAAGAGGGCAAGGGAAGGTGCCAGCTGCTCTACACTTTCAGTCCTTTCTCTTTTCTCCTGCTCGTTCTGTTTTCCGGATCTGCTATCAAAAGTGCTGCAAAAATAGGACTTTGATGATTTAATCAATGGTTTTGCAGCAGGAAAGGCAAGGAAGGTTCTTTCCCTGTGCAATGAGTACACTGTCTTTCATCCATTTTAGTTTTTCTTTTCTTTTTCTCTACTTATCATGACATGTCACTGTTAGATTTAACACAAGGGATCCGTAATGGTACTGTTCTCCTCTGTTAGCGCCTCTGGGTTCTTTTCCTAATTATAATAATTTCAGAACTGCAGAGGTGGAAGGGACCTTGTGGATCATCAAGTCCAGCCCCTCTCAAGGAGGCACGGTGGAGAATCAAACTCCCAACCTCTGATTCTGCTACCAAATATCTAAACCACCCACAGTCTCTGGAAATGCGCCAGTAGTCCTGAGTGTGGACACAGTGGACATTCCTGTTTTCAACAGTCTAAAAGTTGAATAAATACATAACGTGATTCTGTGGAGGTAGGAATCATATGATCTGGCAGTCTGTGGACGTGATTTAATGTCTGCCACCTTGGTGCCCTTTCCTGGAGTTTCCCCAATTGCCAAGAGCATCGCTGAGCGTATCTGTGAACCACTGGGTCATGTCAGCAATTTCTCAGTGTAATTGCATTCCCATGCATGCCTAGAGATAATCATGTGTAGAAAAATAATCACCCAAAATGAATTGGAGGGAAAGAGGTGAAAGGAGATGCCAAAGGGTTACTCTCTTTCCACCTGTATTATGTATGCATCCATTGTATCTGCTTTATCAAACCTCTCACTTTGTGAATCAGTCTTGAGATTTAGTAGGGTAAAATGACCTAAATAACTAACTAACCCTCTCAGAAGGCTGCAGATAGGAACTGTATGCATTGTCATTTTGTGTTCCTGGTAAAAATTAAGAAAGGGTGCAAATCATCATCTTAGAACTGCAGGGCTAGAAGGGACCTTATAGATCATCAAGTCCAGCCCCTGTCAAGGAGGCACAGTGGGGATACGAACTCCCAGCCTCTGCCTTCATAGCCGGATACCTAAACTACTGAGCTTGTCCACCCTATGAGATATAGACTTGGCTGAGAGGTTTGCTCTCAGTTTTTAAGAGTCCATTTTAGGTCTTGCTGTTGCAGAAAAGGGACTGTACCTCAGTTCTGGGGCAGCCTGGCCTTCCTTCCTTAAAGGCTGTCCATCTTGCAGGTGCGGGTAAAGCCCGACAAGACAGGCGTGGTGACGGATGGCGTAAAGCACTCCATGAATCCCTTCTGTGAGATTGCTGTGGAGGAGGCCGTGCGCTTGAAAGAGAAGAAGCTTGTCTCCGAAGTGGTCGCTGTAAGCTGTGGTCCACAGCAGTGCCAGGTGAGAATCTGTTTCCTCTGCGGGAGAGAATAGTCAGAGATGAGGTTGGGGAGGGGGGGCAAAAGCTAGCCTTGAACAAGAAAAAAGAAGTTAACCATATCAGAGAATCCAGACCTCTCACTATAGTGTGCACATGTGAATGCAACCCATTCATGATATCCTGTATCCCAGTTCCATCCTCAGATGGTAGTCACTTCTGCTATTGCACAAACTTCTGTTCTCCTTCCCCCTGGTCCCTTTTGTGTGTGTGTGTCTTCCCAGATGAAATAATTTCAGACTTATTTCTAAGAACATTCAAGAGGCATTTAATGTTGGAATCAGGATTGGATTCCTGGAAATAGCAAACTTCGGGGGTGGGGGGAAGAATTGCTCATGACTAGTCTTCACATTAAGTAAGATTAGATCCCAAAACAAAAATGTGACGTAATAATGAGATTCATCCTGTTGTAACCATACACTCTTCTACATTCTTATCATAAGAACCTGTACTCAGTTTTGCCAGTAAACAAGTAAAGAGGCCTCATTTAAAGTTATAAACCTAACTTTTGTAGCCAAATGGATGTGTCTTACAGAACTTCAGGATGAATACCACAGGATAATTTTTATTTGATATAAACTTCCATAGGTATTATAGATGTTCAGGTGAACTGCGGTCTTCAAAAGTTTATGCTAAATATTGTGTAACTTGCTAGACTTTAACATGTTATCAGATTTTTTATTGTTTGTGTTGCTACAGACTAACAGAGTACCACTGTGGAAAATATTTCGCTATGTCATATAACATACATATATAAGTTTGCATGTTACCTGGTTGATTCCGAAATATGATGACTCTTCTCAGGGTTTTTCTAGGTAGAGAGTACCCAGAAGTGGTAGTTTTTCTAGGCAGAGAGTACTCAGAAGCGGTTTACCATTCCTGGGGGCATCCTGGGACTGTACAGCTTGCCCAAGGCCACCCAGGCTGGCTTTTCTTCTGAGACACAGTGAGGAGTCAAACTCTCAATCTCTGGCTCCCCAGCCAGGTATCCGACTCAGTGAGTTATCCAGTGACCTTAAACTTGGATAGCAATAGCCTGTCGTTCTTGCAAATAAAAAAAATTAAAAGGGGAATTACAATATAACAGTTTATCTTGGAGGTTTCTAAACTAGGAACAGAGCAACAGATAATGAATGTATTTAAGATAAAGCAGCCTAGCTTTATGAACCACAGTTTTGCCTAGCGAGATCATGAGCTCTTTAGGAGCTGGCTTATGAACCATTGTTAATGTCCGTGGCACACGGATCTTCATTGTGACAGGATGTTGGATTGTGGAAGCTCATTATTCAGAGCCCGATCCCCTTATATTCTGTAAAATATCATTTTAAAAATATAATTATAAAAAATAAGTGGTAGGATTCATCATGGACCATGATGCTAGGTATAGTTTTCTTAACCGTTTTTAGCTAGGAAAACCAGATCCCTTCATGGAGGGGTTGTGGAGGTAATAACTTTATTAATTCCAATCAAAACTTGCTGACCTTCCCCTCTAAAGGCTTGTGTGTGTCTCTCTGGTGGTTGGAACTGCTAACTGCAAATGCCTTTCTCCAGTTCCTTCCGAGAAATGGGTGCTGCACCTTTTTCCTGCCTAGGAGCCTCCTTGCTGAATCATAATCATCCTCATCCTCACATGCCATTAAGTCAATTCTAACTTATGGCAACCCTTTTCAGGATTTTCCAAGTAGAGAATGGAGCCACGAAGGTAATTAATTCTACATCATGGTTTTTCTACCGAAGGTGATGGCCACGAGATGGCACCAGCAGTTCAAGAAAAGGTTCTGCAGGATGCTTGCCTGCTGCATCATGTTGAGGAAGCACCATTTGCCAGCTTCCTTCAAATCTTGGGTCTGAATGTCTGGAGCAATGCAGAAGCCTGATTCTCTCAGCTTATTCAGGGCACGGGCTTGTGGTTGTCTGAGACAGGGCAGTATCCCTGTGCTTTAAAAGTGTTTTTTCTCATCCAGTGCATGGCTGGCAACAATAGGGACCTGGGTAATTTAGCAAGCAGTCATGCCCACAAATGAGGAAAGCTTGTTTATTTTATTTTATTTCCAGTGAGATTCTGGAACCTAAGTTCCATCTTTTAGGTATTCTGTGCCACTAGGTTTAGACCAGGCACAAGAACCTTCAAGTTTGCCTGCAGTTTTCTTTTTCAATCCTACAATGCAGTGACTGGATTCAGGTACAGAACAGCAGTTTGGGTATAGCCAGATGGAAATGCAAGGTCTGTTGGCAGTAGCCGTTGCCTCCTGCCATGAATTGTGCTTTTAACGTGTGGCCTGCGTGCACAACCAGAACTCTGTATTTGAGGCGAAAAGAAAAGAAAAAAAACTAGTAACTGCGTTTTTTTAATGTGAACTTTTGTAGAGAGGTCCTCTTCCTCAGACACTGTCCATGAAAACTCTCTTAAAATATAGCAGTTAGTCTTTCAGTTGCCACAACATTTTTGTCACGTTTGCTTTTTATTTCTCTTTTCTTTTTGCCTGATATGCTGACACAGCTATCTCTTCTAAATCTGTATTTGAGCTATTCAACAGAAATCTAAACTGTCTAATGGAGTGGGGCTCGTATTCTTGTTATTCTCCTGAAATAACTGGGGATTGGACTGAAATATATATATATATATATATGTAGATCCTGAATTACCTTCTGTTTACCCTAGGATTTGGAGATTTCTCAGATACAAAAATGGGAAAGGGATGTTGTCCTATTTCTAGTTGTGCCAAAGAGAGAATTTTCACCATATATCAATGTGTCACAACATGTGTAATAAAAAAGGCATCATCTGCCAGAATTCCTGGCATCTGTTTATGTGAATTTCTGGCAGATGTTTATCTGTGTTAAAGAGGGAGATGCGGGGGAAAACAATGTTTTGCCTTGAAGCTGCTCGTGGTGCCATCCTTCACATATATACTTGGATGTACGTACGTGTTGTGATCAGCAGACTTGTTGTTGTTGTTGTTGTTTAGTCGTCTAGTCGTGTCCGACTCTTCATGACCCCATGGACCAGAGCATGCCAAGCCCTCCTGTCTTCCACTGCCTCCCCGAGTTTGGTCAAATTCATGGTGGTAGCAGCAGACTTACACCCAAGTAAATGCTGAGGAATCTTTACAATCATTACCATCACTTTAGAACCACATAGCTGGAAGGGATCCTATGGATCATCGTCCTGCCCCTGTCACGGAGGCCCAATGGGGAATCGAAATCCCAACCTCTGGCTCTGTAGCCAGAGAGACCTAAACCATCGAGCTATCCAGCAGTTCTGGCTGAATGCAACCAGTGCTGTGGCTGGTGCTCTCCTAAAGCATTTTTGAACCCAGCAGTGATGTAGAAAGTTGCAACTTCTCTTCTTCTTTTCTTGGAAGTCCTACACAGTGGTGACCTTATGAGTCTGGGTGTAACCCGTTCCGGCCTCTGAAAGCGACTGATTCAGACGTGCCTCCCGTCTCTTTCCCTGCCTTCTCCAAAGGTTTGGCTCTGTTCTATTTTCTGCCAGCTCCGGCGTCCTGACAGCCCCACCGTCACCAGCTATTTTCTGCACCACTGCTTTTGCTTGCCAGTGACCTTCACTGGCTAGGTAGCTCTTAACGGTCCCTTTCTACAGTCCTCCCCCTGTGGCAGGTTTGCTGACATGCCTCCATCTCAGAGGTGGCGGAGAAAGATGGGGCTTCCGTTTCTTAAGATTGTTTTCCCCACCTCCCAGTCTCCAAAGATTCCTCCAGTTATATAAAAAGGCTGGGCATTGCAGAAGTGTATTTACTACTGCTAACTCAGCGGCTGCATGACACTTGATGGGTGTGTGTATGTGACAATATGTGTATCTGCTGTGTCTTGGCTCTGTTCCCAGTGGGGCAGGCATCACCTTCCCCACAGAGGCTGTTCTTGCTCTTTTTAACAGGTGTGTGGGAGAAGCTCTATACCTGTCTCAAGTATCATTAAAACACAGCATTGATTTTTGTTCAGTTTTATTACTTGCCATACATACACAGGGATGTATAAATATGCCTTCTAAGGAACATTTAGAAGAATTAACACAAAGCATATGGAGTGTTTTGGTGGTTCTTGCTTTTCTGCTTCATTAAAACTTGGCCCTTGTTTCCCTAATGAAAGCATTTCATTATTGTATATTTGGTTGCTAGACAAGCATATAGATCTTAAATGTGGGGTAAGATTTGGCGTAAGGACAGCTGATAAGGCACCGCACTTTCTTTGCTCCCTTCCCTAGCTTTTGGGAGGGACTTCTACCATTTATGGTGGCAGATTGGTTTAGTACAAAAAGAGGGTCACGCAGACTCCAGGTTTTGGATCGTATAGTATATATATGTGTTCCAATGTTTTAATAGAAAATGTTTAGGCGCACAAAAGTAAGACGGAATCACAAGGCCTGGGCTCAGTATATGGCTCACCCACACAACGTACTGGGTAGCCAGCTTGATCACTTTGCCGGATGATAGTGAAGGCAAAATATGACTGCTCCATATATGTAATCCTTGAGAACCTTAGGTAAAAGGTAAAGGTTGCCCTTGACATTTAGTCCAGTCGTGTCCGACTCTAGGGCACGGTGCTCATCTTGTTTCCAAACCTTAGAGTGAGCGTTTTTGTCCAAAGACAATCTTCCATGGTCACATGGCCAGCGCGACTAGACATGGACTGCCGTTACCTTCCCAACAAAGTGGTACCTATTTATCTACTTGCATTTACATGCTTTCTAACTGCTAGGTCGACAGGAGCTGGGACAAGTGACGGGGGCTTACTCAGTTGCATGGATTCGATCTTATGAGTGCTTGGTCTTCTGACCTTGCAGCACAGACGCTTCTGCAGTTTAACCTGCAGCGCCACCATGTCTCTGAGAACTATAGGAGCAATCATCATCCTGTGCCATCAAGTCATCTCTGACTTATGGCAACCATTTTAGGGATTTTCCAGGTACAGTATATGATATCCGGAAACGCTTTACCATTCCCTTCTTCTGGGGGTGTCCTGGGACTGTCAAGGTCACACAGGCTGGCTCTGCTCCCAGGAAGCAAAGTGGGGAGTCAAACTCCCAACCTCTGGCTCCACAGATAGAGACTTCACTCACGGAGTTTAGCCAACTTTAGCAGCTATGGGTTCTATATATGACAAGTATAGCCTTTGTGAGATAGACTGTCATTCTCTCTTTTTGAAAGTAATGAGGGATCCGGGCCTGGTGGATAGCAGTTAACAGAAGCCACTCCTCATCAGTAAGTATTTCTTTAATTTAGCTAGTTTAGAAGTCGGCCCTGTTCCAGAACTTTAGGTTACTGTAAATGCCATGTGATACCTACCCATCCTTATTCCTGCTTGACCCTGCCCATGAAAAACCAGTTGGAATAAAAACATCTTGTACTACTATTGTTTGATGACCAGTTTTTCAGTGTAGCCACTCTTGACTAGCTTCTGCTTTTGTGCTGTTCCAGCTGTTGTTAGTCACCCGCTGGTCTAGCAGCGTGAACACAGAGAGTCCCAAGAATCAGTGGTGAATAATCTGTGTCTGAGCTTTGGAAGAAAGGAAGCTTCTCTTCTAGCTGGCTTCTCTTGCCAAAACAGATAGGTCACATGTGGGGCTTGCTCTCGCTGTTCTTCTGCCCCCAGGAGACCATTCGCACCGCCCTTGCGATGGGAGCCGACCGAGGGCTGCACGTGGAGATCCCTGCGAAAGACTATGAAAGCCTCGGTCCTTTCCAGGTTTCGAAGATCTTGGCTGCGCTGGCCAAGAAGGAAGGAGTTCATCTTCTGCTGCTGGGCAAGCAGGTGAGACAACCTAGAAGGAAAGGGCTACTATGTTCTGCTTCGGCAAACTATACAATGTAGAAATGAACTTGTGCCACTTTGGTGCCTCTGTGAATCTGAGACATCAATCAAAGAACATATTTCTAGCAGTTGAGATTTCTGAGAAGGCTGAAGGCCAAAACTCCCAGCAGATTGATGTCTTATTACACTTCATGCCCTCCCGTGGAAAGAGTGTCAGGAGATGGGCCAGCAGGCGTCAGTCTGCATTGGGTCTGGCTCTTAGGATCGTGGCACGGGGAGCTTGTTTATCCCCCTGTTCCCACCACAAGGATGTTAGCCTAGCCTAGACTTGATTATGTTCTGGATAAAGGTCAAGAGAAGGCTGGTGCCAAACTTAAGAGAGATTGAGCCAAACATATGCTAGGCCAAGATTTGTGTGTGTGTTTAGTCGTTTAGTCGTGTCCGACTCTTCGTGACCCCATGGACCAGAGCACGCCAGGCCCTCCTGTCTTCTACTGCCTCCCGGAGTTGTGTCAGGTTCATGTTGGTTGCTTCGCAGACACTGTCCAGCCATCTCATCCTCGGTCGTCCCCTTCTCCTCTTGCCATCACACCTTCCTAACATTTTAACTTGTGATTAAGACACGGCCAGCAACATATCCTGGCCGGGAGCTGGCCCCAAAAGATCTATGTAGGGTTCCCGGCCAAACCAGGCAGTGTTGAGAAGCAGCATCACCTGCAACAGTCCCTCCTTCCAGACCTGAAGGATGCAAGATCTTACCTTGTGGGGGCTGAAACGTGGCCCAAAAATGGTTCTAGTTTTCTATTTTGATGAATAAATCACCAGGTTTGAAAAGAAGGGGCAAGGAGGGACATTTTCCCACTGTCAAGAGGCCAAAGCAAGTCTCACGTTGCTTGCAGTGCTTTCAGTCCACTTTGGCTGCTGTCTTTTTTTAAAAAAAGGCATGTCGTTCTTGAAAGACCTGGCCTGTATGCGTCAGGCTTAGTCTGTGCAAAGCCCTGGGAAACACCGAAAGGGCTGTCCTGTCCACCGAAGATCTTCCATGGACCCTGGAAGACCATCTAAACTTTCTTCTTCCCTTTGTGGCTGACTTCGCTTTTGCCTGATTCTTTTTCCCCAGGCCATTGATGACGACTGCAACCAGACAGGGCAGATGGCGGCAGCATTTCTCGACTGGCCTCAGGTACCATGTCGGAGAGTTAGGAGAAAGGAGTGGCAGTGAAAGCAATCCTTATAGGCTGGTGAGATGGATGGGGAGGAGGCAGCCTGTCAAGGAAGACACACTCAATTTCTATACATGCAGGTAGCAAAACTTGGAAGGAAGTGGATCTGTGGAGTAGAACAGCTGTGATGGTATGCATGGGGCCAAGGCTTCCTTCTGTGTCATCTTTCATCAGAGTTGGGATGCCTCTTTTCTTTGCCCAACTGGTTTCAAACTAGGAACTGGAGCAGTGGATCCCAACCTTGGTTAACCCAGGTGTTTTTGGACTGCACCGCCAGCTGTGCTGCCCAGGGTTTCTGGGAATTGCAGTCCAAGAACAGTTGGCTTAGCCAAGGTTGGGAACCCCGGTCCTAGAGGAATTTGTGTGTGTATGTGTGTGTGTGTGAAACAGCTTGGTGCAAGCAACAATACACGTAGATGAGGATACAGTTGTGCCCCGCTTTACGATTGCCTCATTTAACGACGAATCCGCTTGACGACAGTGTTTTTACGATCACTGTTGCGATCGCAAAACGATGGTTTGAATGGGGTTTTTCCGCTTTGTGATGATCGGTTCCCAGCTGATCGTAGGGTTTCAAAACAGCTGCTGGGTGTACAGAATGGCTCCCCGCTGTGTTTAGGAGCCATTTTTCACTTTACAGGCACCTGAAATGACCGCCCCATGGAGGATCTTCACTGGACGGTGAGGTTTCAGCCCATTGGAACGCATTGAATGGTTTTCAGTGCATTTCAATGGGCTTTTTATTTTGCTTTACGACGTTTTCGCTCTACAGCGATTTCACTAGAACGAATTAACATTGTTAAGCGAGGCACCACTGTAACTTCTTACACCATTCCATAGATTCGCTAGACAAGGAAACAGAGCCTCTGTGTCCCTGCTTGTTATTTGTATTGATGTTTCTGTGCTTTGTGCAGAAGTTCTGTTACTGAAGCACTTCAAATATCAGTTTCTCATTTAAATATCATCAGTTTTTCATCGTTTGGTGAATTTTTTGATGGAGAGATGGGTTATGCATCCATAAAGTGACTGTATGGAGAACTAATCTGTCTTATTTTTGAAGTACCGTGGGGAACCTCTGTGAACCAGAGGGATGTACTTAATATCAGAGAAGATCTCTCAGATCAGTGATCTCTCAGACTGCAGCCCAGTGATGGGTGGAACAAAAAAAAAATCAGTGTATTTTCGCTTGAGTTTTACTCTCCCACTGACATTTTTTTCACACTTTCAGAATGCAAAACAGCCCCCCCTTTACAGGAACTGGGAAACCACCAGATGGTGGTACTGTGGGGGAAGGGACTCCCAGTGGGATGTATTGGGACCCCAGAAGGATCATAAGTAGTCTTAATATCAAAGGTTCTCCACCCTGTCTTAAAGGAAGGAGCCCTCTGGCCTCATTGTCATCATCTTTCATAATGAAGAACAAATCTCCAGCCGTCTGTTTTTGTTTGGGCCTTTTTTTTTTCTCAGTTCATGGCCTAGTTAATGGCCTAATTAATGGGCAGATGAAACTGGAGTGGCTGGGAGGGAAATAACCCATTGAAATCTTATTAACACCCTATTGCCAAGTTTCCAAAGAGACAGAACGTGCTTCTTGGCTGCTTGACCATAGTTTCAAAACTGTATTGAGGACACAGCCTTCAAGTGATTGGATTGCTCCCTGCTTGTGCCTTGGAGTTTGGTGTCCCCATAGTGTCACTGCTGTCACTCTTGTCCCCACCCCACCCCACCCTCCCCAACGGAGGCAAGCTAGATGCCCCTGTCTTGGATCTGTTGCGACCACAATAGCTACTTACAACTACTTTGCTATGAGATTTCTTAGCTCCAGAACTTAGAAAATTGACTTTCGAGGACTACACCTCCCAGAGAATTTCCAGCAGCAATACTGGCTGGGAGATGCTAACAATAGGTATCCAAAATAATAATAATAATAATAATAATAATAATAATAATAATAATAATAATAATAATAATAATAATAATAATAATAATAATAATGTTA